GTGAGTGTGCCGCGCGCCCCGCGCCCCTGCCCGGCGCGCGTATGGGCCCCGCCGACCGCGTTGTCTCCCATTTCTTGACCCAGCATTTCCGAGGAAGGAAGAATCGGTGCTACCGGCTGGCGGTCAGAGCTGTGACGAGAGCGTTCGTGAAATGCACCCGAGCCCGCAGGCTGAAGAAGAGGAACATGAGGACGGTAAGCCCAGCCCGCGTCGGCCTCCGCCTCGCTGCCCCGGACCCTCCGGAGCTAAGGGCGGCGACTCTGACCCTGGAGAGTCAGCAGGGCCTCACTCGCCGCGGAGGCGGCCCCAGCCCGTAAGCCAGTCGTTCCTGTGCACGTGGTCTGCGAGGACCGGCCTCGGCAGCCCCGCCCTCCCCGTGGGGTTCCGCTCAGTCGGGGACACGTGCGCCTGCCGCTGGAGGACAGCGGAGGGTCTCAGCGCAGGGTCCCGGTGCAGCAACAGCAGCAGCAGCCTTGCACGGAACCTGCTGAAATGCTGAGTCTCAGCACCTCCCCACCCCGCGGGCACCCATTGAATTGAGAGCTCTTGAGGTGGGGCCCAGCAATCTGCGTTCTAACAAACCTTTAGGTAGTTCTGATGCGCATTCAAACTTGAGAACCACTGAAACACAGGAAGAAAGTTGACTTGAGTGTGTCTTAAGATTGAGAAAATAATGCCTTGAAAGAGTCTCTTAGGCCCCACCTTGTTTAGCAGATCCATTCAGAGCTTCCCGATCTTTCCCACCTGCCTACAAGCCTTGACTTCCCTGTGGTTAAGGGAACGGACCCTGCTGCTTCTGGCCAGCCAGGTCCTTTGTGAGGCCCCTCCTGCAGCTTCCACCTGGATTGTTCCACGCCTGCCTGGCGGCACCCGTCTCACTGGCTGTCACAGTCCATCCGCGGGTCCCTTTGGAGCTGTGCCTGGCAGAGACTCTTGCTCATCTTTGGATAAACGTGTGGAATTAACGCTTCCCAGCGCATGACCTTCTTGCTAAACCCTTTAGAAGGAAGCTGGCCTTTGGGTAAAGAGCCCAGGCCTTTGCTCACGGTGTCTGTACTACAGCTTGTTTGCCTGAATAAAACACTGACTTTGGTATTTGCTTTTACAAAAAACCTTTTAATTTAGTTAGAACCTTTGCTGGGAGGTGTGGACATAACATACTGCTAGTTCTGAAGCATCTTAAAAATTTTCTTATTTCAGCTCTGGATTAATCGAATTACAGCTGCTTCCCAGGAACACGGCCTGAAGTACCCAGCATTCATTGCCAATTTAATTAAGGTACGGTTGAGGATGTGGTTCTGTTGCAACGCTGAACGGCTTCATAAGTCTTCCCAGTTGTCATGGTCCAGCAGCCCATACGGTGGGACGTTAGCGCCCTAACGTTGCTTTCATTCTTGGGGTGCAGTTCTAGCAGCTTCAGGGACTTGTCACACTTGCTCTGCCCTTGCCCTGTGGTACCAAGACATGGGCCTTGGTGTTTCCCCATCAAGAAAAAATATGGAAAGACTTGACTTTAAAGTTTAATTTCAAAGTTTTTACACTGAATGAATTCTGATGAGGTAGCAGATCAAGTTGAAACTCATAATGAAAAAGGAGGGGAAACATCTTGGAGGGGAGAGATGAAGCACGTGTCACAAAATCTCTGCATCTGGTGATTATCCTATTTTCTCTGCTTTTGTGTGCACTTAAATTATTTCCCAGAAAGCTGGGGGAGTGGGTGTTATGCTTCTGCCTTATACCAGACCCTGTCTCTGGCACTTCACAGAGATCCTCAGGGTAAGTGTGAGGGTGACACTTCCATTTGACTGAGGGGAGCTGAGGCTCAGAAAGGAGAGGGACTTTGCCCAAGGCCCATGGGTCCCACGTAGTAGAACAGGATCCACTCCTGCGTAGCTGCATTCAGTGCCAGGAGACCCTCCCCTCTTTTTTCTGCACTTCAGGCTCCCTGGCACTGTCCATCCGTTTTCTGATGTTTACTTGGTAGTCTGGCTCTCTTGTGGAAATCAGGAATGCTTGGTTCTGATCCTGGTTCCTCTGCTCGTGCCTCTTCTGTGTCTCATTTTTCATCATTTGTAAAATGGGAATTGCGGTTTCCTCTTCCCAGATGACTTAAAGGGTCACCCCCGGCCAGAAATCTCTAAAGAAGGCCCTTGGGTCCATGGCTGGCACCAGGAGCAATGCCCCTACCCAACCCCTGTCCACACTGACCCTCCAGGGTCCTGCTTCACCACTCCCCTCTCCCTCTGATGCTCACGTGATATTTGCTGAGGTGATTCAAATCGTAGGATGCTCAGCTGTGTTCCGAGTCTAATTATGTTTCACTGAAATGCATTTTTGATGCTGAAACAGACTCTGGTTCTCTTTCCAGTGCCGGGTGGAGCTCAACAGGAAAGTACTTGCAGACCTAGCCATCTATGAACCAAAGACTTTTAAATCTTTGGCTTCTTTAGCCAAAAGGAGGCGACAGGAAGGATTTGCTGCTGCCTTGGGGGATGGGAAAGAGCCAGAAGGCATTTTTTCCAGGGTGGCACATCACCACTGAAGGAGGATGCCGACACCAACTGTCCTTTGCAGCTGAGCGTCTTAGGGAAAGGCTTTTCCCTGCTGTGATGATTATACTAAAATAGGGACTAAGAAGTATTTGTGAGCAGTGTAAGTCTGACTTGTGTTTGTGTTCCTTTACACTTCAGTTAACAGCCCTGAGAGAAAAGGCCTGTCTTCTCATTGGCACAGGTTCAGAAATATCTCACATGGATCTTGTAAATAAAGCTTGTGTGGTGTTGGGCTTTTTGAGCTGTGTTCTTTGGTGTCAGCAAACACACCGCAGGTGCGCCTGCCTGGGTGCCTGTGATGTGGTGAGTGAGGCTGCCAGGGTGAGAGGGGGTCAACTGAACATGCGCCTCTAGGAACCTTAGATCCTCCTGCAAGTAGGGGGTGGGGTGCGCCAGGCCTGTGATCTCTGGCCCTGCCCATCCCGCCTGTTTCCAGCAGGGATTCCACGGCTCAGCTCTTCAGCCACTCTGAGCACCAGGCTTCCTGCTGTCTTCCAGCCCAGCAGGCAGCAAGCGGGGTCCCAGTCTCACCTGAGCCCCCACAGGCAGGATGACCATCAGATTACTTGGGAAGCCTTAATGTAGGGTTCCAGTCCCTCTCCCAGATACCTGACTTCATTAATAACAGAGCCAAGTCCAGAAGTAACTTCTCAGCACTGCCAGTTGTGTCCCCACTATCCATTGCATGGGGCCAGGGCCTCCCCTTGCTGTCTCTGGGAGCTAGTTCTGCCCTCGGCCTTGTTCTTCTGCATTTTGAGCCCCTGTAGCTCCCACCTCCTATCTGGTCTGTTATCGGGCTCACCCGATAGCTCTCACGAGCTATCTCCTAGTACCAAAACCCAAGGGATACTGTCAGTCCTGGACCCCAAAGGTCACACACTCCCTTTCCTCTGCTTGCTGCCAACCAGGGTTCTTACCTCACCATTCCTCACACCCTCGGCCCAGGAGAGCTCTTTAGGCCCAGGGTTGCTGTCTGACTCCTGCACTTACCTGGCAATGCCCACCTGGCCCCACTCCAAAACTCCCATGCTGAGTCTTACGGTGATGCCCTCCTCTGTCCTTTGCCAGCAGTCCCCTGGAAGAAATTACTTCTTTGGACCCAACACCCACCTCCAACTGTGCACTCTTCTCCATCCTCGCCACAGGCCAACATCTCTTCTGGCTCCAAATACTGCAATGGCTTCCTAAGAGGCCCCTCCTCCTGGCCCTTGTCACGGTGTCTAATGATGGCCACTGAACTGTAAGCATTTGGAGGCCCGGGGCTGAGTCCTGTTTTGCCACAACCACTGCAGTGGCTGACTACACAGTTCATCAGTTCATCCACAGACAACAGGGTAGAGAATACAGAGGGTCCTCTGGTGTGGGGACCAAGTACTGTGCAGAATGCACTGATGTGGAGGAGCTGCCTTTTCTTTGTTCATCTCGGTAAAGGAAGATGGGGATGTGACAGACAACTGTGGGCTGCTCCTGGCACCCACGCCCCCTCCAGCCACAGGACCCAGTTTTCCTTTCATGCAGGCCAAGGACCAGAGCCTGGCTCTGACTGGCTAGAGCCATCAGCTCTTCCCTCTCCTCTAGCTGTTCAGGAAATGGACAGGTAATCCAAGAAGGCCCAATGAGAAGCTCTTTCCTGGGGCTTCTGGATGAGGAAATTATTCCTTTCATGGACAGTGTGCTGCTGTAGCCTGCAAAGAGGAGACATCCAGGACCTGGCAGCCTAGGGGTAGGGGAGACGGGGCACTGTAACCATGTTGCTCACGGGAGTGGAGAAGAGAGAGACTGGGTTTTAGCCTGCACTGTTCCTGAGCTGCAGGGTCAAGTCTCACTTGAGTGAAAGCCAGTGGTGGCCTCTGGGTTTGGGCAGGTTTGAGTTGAGTGCAGTTACTGGCAGATCCCAAGGGTCTGAACCTGCCCCCACCTCAAGCTGTCAGTCATCAAGGCCTTCCCACCATCCTTACACAGGTTCTTGCACTAGTCCTGGTGAAACGTTTAGAATAACTGTTCAGCAACAGACAACTAATACTGCATCTGACGTGACAGCAACACTGCTGCCTGGTGATGTAAAAACCACCAGAAGCTGTCAGTCATTAATCCTGAGAGCGCCTGCTACAACCGGTGGGGGAATGGAGGGTCAAATCCCTCGACGGCTTCCCGCTGTTTGCAGTATACAGTCTCAGCCTCTTCCCGTGGCCCCGGGGGGCATCCTAGCCTGGCTCCTCGCCCCCCAACTCGGTTAGAACTCACGCCTTTTGCAGTCAGTGGCTCTGTAGAAACACCGCATTATAAACGTTTCCAGCTATCTTCTCTCTTCCTGTGGACTCAATTCTGAAGGCAAGAACTCTGAATCTGGCGTTGTATCTTTACCCTAAACCTGGACTCAGTAAACGCTCGAGAGTAAAGACCATGCCAGCGGCCACGAATTAACTGGCAAACGTATGACGTTGCTGCTGGGCGTGGGCTGGGGACAACTTACCAGCGCGTGCGTCAATGCTTTCAGGCCGGGGGCCTCCGAGACCTTCGACGCCTCCAACCAAGCCCTCCCTGCTCCAGTGGCCCGCAGGGCGCAATCCCGGCAGAGGGAGAGCCGCCACCCCCTTACGGGCCCACGGAACAGTGGGCGCCCGCCGGACCCTGCCAGACCCCCAGGAAGCCTGGGGCAGCGGTGGAAGCCTCACGAGCTCCGGGTCCTTTGCGAAGACCGAACCACCGCGCCGAAGCAGTCCGGGCCCTAAAGGGTGCCCGGAGCCGGCATCAGCCACTAGTGCTTCCGGGTCGGGGCCCAGACCCCGGCCTCGCTCGG